GGTTGGAGCGGACTATCCCATTGTTAAATTCTGATGTGCTTATAGTAATAACCCCCCAAAAATACGCAACATTTGGGGCAATCCTTCAAGAGCGTCATTATGCTGTTGCCTGTACAAAGGACAGTGTTGCCATTGCCTTTGTCCGAATATCTTGAAGGAAAGGTTGTGTATGAGTCGTAATATAGGAAAGTTGTATGTGAGCCGGAACTCATTTGTGATCCAATTCGCTTTGATGCTAGGTATAGGATTCAATGGACATTTAAAAGTTGATCAGCCAAAGGTAAAACTAAAGCGATTTCAATTTATACGGGCCTTAGCGCGAAAACGCGAACTACAAAAGAAACTTCTGCGAGATGCCGGACAGTTCACGCGTTCCTGTCAGTAACATGCACATCTCTGATGACGCACTCTCACTTTTGGATGTCGGTCCATTTGCACGGGCACAGACGATAGGGCCAACGGTCTCACGCGAAATTGTAAGCAGCCTCCAGTTTGTTTACGGAGAACTGCGGTGCAGAGCAAATGGGGAACGACACGCAAAAGTTTGAAGAAACGCAGACCTGCTATACTATTCCCGCGGACTTCAAACCGCAAGAGCCATTAGTATAGTATATTCCAAATTCCGCATCCTTGCATCATTCTCCATTCTCAGCGAATTTAACAAAAACGCTTGCTCAGTAATCTAACGCCAGCGCATCGGCGCGGTCTGCGAGAAAAGCAGGATTGCTGCGCTAAAGAAAACAGTGTTCCAGCGAAAAAGAGGAAGTGTTTGTGGTACTTTTGAGTGAACTAAACATGGCGATAAAGCGCAATTTAGAAGACGATGCCCTGTACCAGTTCTTGAACGCATGAGTTTGTAGAACAATTTCGCCGGCTAGATAGGTTATGGGTAGATACAGTTTGCTCTGCGGAGTTGCTCACAGATGCGCATCATAAGTGCTTTGCCTATCTGCCTCGTCCTTTATACGCTGATTAAAAGCACAGATCCGCGGGTTTTGGTCTAGTTCTCCGCGCGATTTCAAAGTGTGATCTGTCATTACTAGTGTTGCAGGCTTTACTGATGGGATTTTGGCTCCCAAACATCTTATGTTGCAGCTGCTGTTTGTTTCCGCTCAC